AGGGGACCGAGCGCCGCGGCTAGGACAGGCTAGGGGGCCGGGCGCTGCGGCCCCAAGTGTTACTGATCAGCTGACTTCAGTGCAAAAGTACGTTAATTCAATCGGACATTAGTGCAAACGATATAGCATCAGATTTAGTTGACCATTTGTATAATTTAAAAGACTCTTGGACTTTTTTTTCCTGATCTTTAAGGTTTCATCGATCCATACTGTTTGTTGAAATTATATTCAAATGTTGAAACTTAGAGGCCAATGGCGATATCATGTTGATCATAATGTTACAATCGTATAAACAGTTTTCAATTTAATCTCATTCATGTGACGAATGTTTAAAATTATGATTTAATTTGAATGATTATTTTACATCAGGACTCAGGAGATAGGAAAGCGCAGATTGCTGCGTCAAATTCTCTGGAGGGCCTTATATTAAACAGGATAAAAATTATTACTGAAAAATATTATTTCTCAACATGTATGCCAATTTACAAAGTTTTAAAATTAAAAGTATTTTAAATCATCTTTTAACACTACAATGTATTTGTATTTGACAGAATTTATAACCTTGAGAGGAAAATCATGTCAATTTTAAAGTAAGTTCTCCGTTAAAATATAAAGCCGTGGAGTTGATGGTTGGAAGTTGGAAGGTTCCATGCAACAACATTTCGTCAGCTGCTGCAGTTCTCACCGGAAACTTTGATTGACATAGATGAAATAAATGTGACTAAGAGTTAAATGATGAAATAATTAATTATAAGGAGTTGTGCATCTTACCCTGCATTCAAATAAACACACGGTCGATTCACAATGGTCCCCCTGGTTATTTTTTCAGTTTTATTCTTACACAGCTAATAAGGGTTTAAAGATAGCGGCGTAACTGTGCGAAGAAAGGATTAAAATTCGTTCTCTAGGAAAGTTCTGAACTTTTCATTTTCACTTAGTTATTGGGTCCGTCCTAGTATACGATTACATGTCTTTCGCATCAGAGCTGTTGATATTACTGATCTCATAATAATTTATATTCTAGATCAAGTAGAGAGTATATCGCGAAAAACCATTTGTTAACTTTGTTAAAACGTTTTATATAAATCCTTTTATAGGAGACTTGAAAGAAACTGGTTCTCTAGTGTACGGACCTGGGTCTAAAAATGACAGTTCAGGGAGAAACCAATAAATATATTTGTTGTTCTTTAATATTGATTTTTATAAAAATTATATCTCTAGAACTGAAGAGGGTCAACCCAGGCTGAAATATATTTTCGAAAATTGTTAAACAAGCATATTTTTTACTCTGTGAGGTTTGGAGCATCATTAAAATCGAATTTTAAATATATTATTTGTTTTTACTTAATGATCTAAATTAAGAATTAGATGAATAATTTAAGAACAACATTCATTAAACCATGTTGACAACCTGATGGCAAGATTTAAAGCACATATTTTAAAGTGCAGTGAGAACCAGAAAACTGTGGAATAGGAAGACGAAATTAAAACTATAACTGAGGGAGTTTGATATTGAAAAAAAGTATTTAGTTTTATTTGTAACTTGTTAAATCATTTTTAAGTGAAATGGTTCTGTTAACACTGCACAATTGCTGTGGATTATGTTCATTGGCCTATTTAAAATCATAATTTGAGTCCAAAAGTTGCATTTCTATTCTAAAGTTTTATGAAAAATTTATTAAAATTAAACATTTCTAAGAAATGTTAGTATAAAAACTTTTAAGTCCATTTTGGCGTGGGGGGCGTTGACTGGGGTCTTTATTATATAATCCTAATAAAATTATTAATGGTTCTGCAGTTGCCAGAGCTTTGGTCAAACCAACCCCTGAACAGGTAAATGAAATAAACTATGCAGAACTAAACTGAAAAAAAATTTGATTGACAATGACACTAAAGGCAAATCATTGGAACACCCAAATTTCTAATTTCTAATTGTGAAGTAGTTTCAGGGGTGAAATTTAAAAAATGAGTCAAGGCACATCCAAGTTTTTTAGTTTATAAACAATTAAAAAAAAAAAATTTTTACACTTATTTTTGGATACTTCTTTACACTAATTTTATTATCCATCTTTTTTTAATAGTTCAGATTTGGGGTTTGAAAGTAAACATTTTTTCTTCAGTTTTTGGTTGATATTTTGCCCCTTGGATCCGGATCCGTGGATCCGCTTATTTTTGTGAATCCGGATCCAGGAAGCCAAAATTTTGCGGATCATCCGGATCCTAAGCACTGCCTGAATTTATTAGCAATTGTTTATTTGTCTTATTATTTTTATAAACGTTGATAATCAATTACTTGATTATTGGTTGGTTGTTGATGTTAATATAGATTATTTTTAGGCAACTCAAATCCAGAAAGCTAAGAAATATGCTATGGAGGTAATTTTTATCTTGCAAAATTTTGGTCGGGGGCCGAATTTTATATATTTGAGCAAGGTCGCTGAAATACTTAGCACAGATTCAATTACTTATCTGTTTTGTTGCCTTAGAGTTTATATATATTTGACAAATCCAGGGGTATTATATTCTTACAGGAAGTTGAATTGTTCCCAATCAGTAATATTTGTCATTCATTTCCATCCCCGTAGGTTAAAAAAATTTCGGTTTCTTATTGCAAAATTTATTTCTTTTTTCTTTTTTCTTACCGTTATTTTTTTTTTTCTCTTTTTAAAAATTTTATTCCCGGGGCTGAATTGTTTTCACCCCCCTGGTGAAAGTAAGAATGTACTACCCTGGGAGTGTGGGACAAGTCCTGTATCACTATGTCAAAATACGTGGGAAAACCCCATACTTAGCTCAAATTCATTACATCCGGTCCCTGGCGTTTAAATTATCATGGGAGGGAGGGAGAACGAATCTATGAATAATTAAGATCATCATGTTTTTATTAAATGGTTTGAAAAATTGAAATAGTAAAGTAGACTTAACCTCTTCATTAAGTATTTAAATTTAAGTTGGACTGTTAATATTCATAAAAGTAAAATGCCATGCATGCAATTTTTTCTTTCGGGGTCACGGAGGAGGGGGGGTTTCCTAAAAAAGGGATAAATCCATTGTTAAAGGGACTTCCAACATATTTAAAAGTAACCCACGTTAAGGTTCGCATACCCGATTCACATAATTAAGTATTTAGTCAATAAACCTTTTTTGATCAACAATGAGGAAGATGTCGTTTCTTTATCTTGATTAGTGTTGAATTCTGTTTATTTCCTTCTATCTCTGTACTACAAAAAATTTCTAAGTCACTTTATTATCAGGCAGAATTTCAAAAAGTACAATTTTTAATTAAGCATGCAACTCGTTAAGTGTAGGTTCACTTGGAATTTCTCAGACATTCTCTTCAATTCTGTGTTTAGGTGAGCATTAAGATGGTGTTAATGAAGCAAACTAAGCACCTTGGATTATTATTATTAACGTCTTATATTTGTAGAATCTATGTTGGGTGTATTAACTACGACACGAGGGAGGAATCTATAAAACAAGCATTCAATGCTTTTGGTCCAATTCGATCCATCACAATGTCCTGGGACCCAACAACGCAGGTCAAATATTTAAAAAAAATAGATTTTTATTAAATTCTCACTGCATAGTTTGTAATTTTATTTGTAGCAGTTTTTTAAGGTATTCATTGTGCTTTAATTTTCAAAGCTGTGCTAAATTTTTTTATTGGTTCCCAGATTATCTTAAGAAATTTTTGGGGTATTTCAAAACTATTTTTCAATTTTAATAAAATCTATAATTGAAATAAACTCTGTGCAATATATAATCTAAATTTGGGAACCTTCTTTTTAAGAGAGAAACTTTTGGTCAAAAACCAAAGATGTTTTTAATCCAAAAATTGTTCTTTATTTTTACTAGGCTTTTATGGTTCTTTCCACTTCTTTTTGTAGCAACAATCTTAGATTTTTATGTTGCTTTTTATACCTATTTTTTCCTTTGTACATATAGAAACCAGAAATGTTTAAACAGAATTATATTGACTGGCCTTACTCTGGGGTCATGTGATGTTCTTTATAAAATATGGGCCCAACTGACAGACTTTCAAGCTATCCATTGGATAAAGCTCTTCACTTATAACCATATATAATAAATATATTTTATATGTTAGCTTAAGCTGGCCAAGCCGCTCGACCAATTTTTTTTAGGAAACCCATGGGTACCCTTGGGATGACATGGTTTAAAAATAAAACGTTTCTGATTTTTTTTCAAAATTCGAATTCTTTTCACGTGTTTTTAAATTCCACAGGATAACGGCTGGCACTAGAGCTAGTTTAGAGATATGTTTATAGAGGTTTTATTATTTATATTTGTAGAAGCACAAAGGGTTTGCGTTTGTTGAGTTCGAAACTCCTGAGGGGGCTCAGTTAGCCGAGGAACAGATGAACGGTGTTCTGGTCTGCGGTAGGAATATCAAGGTAAGGAACAGTGTTCTTTTCTGTGGTAGGAATATCAAGGTAAGGAACAGATGAACGGTGTTCTGGTCTGTAGTAGGGATATCAAGGTAAGGAACAGATGAACGACNCGGCTTAAATCTTTAAAAATTGAATACAATTTTTAATGGAACCAACCATATTTGAGCCGCGGCTTAAATTTGAGCCACGGCTCAAATTCTTTAAATTCGGCCTCTATTTTATTTGAGTTTGAATAAACGAATTGTCTGAAGGATTAAACACACCTAGAAAACGTTAATTATGAACTGCGAGATATTTTTGGAGAGAAAAAAATCATTTTTCCCCAAATTGTCAGTTCATCCTCAAATTTAAACATCGGGGGAAAGTTTTTTTTGTTTTAATTTTAGAAAAATTTACACATTGATTATTTTGATTTGAGCCGATGTGTGTACAGGGTATGGATATGTAGAATATGAAACTCTACAGTGTGCCCTGGTAAGAAACCATTTTTTACTTTTTAATTCACTTTCATGACATAGTTTGCCTTAAAATTTAATTATCTTGAGTTAATTTTATTTTCTTGAGACAATTTTATTTTCTTGAGTCACTTCGTGCTTTTTAGTTCTTTTAAAGTTTCTTCCTTAGATATCAATTAATTAAATCTTTATAGTTCTAATTCAGTTAATCTAATCTAACCATGTCTAATCTAATCTATTCTAATCTAATCATTTTTTATATTATCTTAATTAATCTTATGTTATCTTAACTAATCTTATATAATCTGATCTAATCTTTTAAAACTATATTTTGTTCTGTGTAAACATGAAACTGTGATCTTTAGGTTTGAGTTCCCCGGAGCTAGAAATCCACAAAACACCTCAAAATAATTATTATTATTTGGAATATTTTTCCGTAAAATAGACAATTCTAAAATCAACTTTTTAACTGTGGGTTAAGTATATTTTACGGAAAACCTAAAGGAAAGATAAAAATTGTGATAGTTTTATTTGCGTGTATATTTTTCTCTTTCCTTTGAGCAGGGTCAACCAAATACTTAAAAAAAAGTTTATTTTAATCTAATTTTTGTGCTCACAGTTCTGGTTCTTATTGAAGATTCCAAATTTTGTAAATAAAGACGTTATTACTACCGTTATGGTTTCAAGTATCTTGCCATTTAAGGAGAAACATGCTCGATTTGAACCTTTTACTGATCAATAATGTGGAAGATATTGTCGCTTTTTAAGTTTAAAAACTCCAATAGAAATCCGCAACGAATTTTTTTAGAGAAAAATATGGATATCTTATTCGTTCTTCATCTGAAAAAGTTTTGTTAAGTTTTTTTGTGAATCTGACTTGCCATTCTATAAATGGCGAGTAAATGGCGAGTCCATTGAAATTATTCGTCTTCAATCCCTTAAAGTTAAACAAATTTTTTCCAAATTTTTAACATTTTTAAAGGAAAAAAATATGAGAATTTAAATCTAGAACCTGTGAAATATGTTTGGTTGACCCTGGGTCCCTAGTTTAGATTCAGGAGCTCCTTGTTGACCCGTTGTTTCTATTTAGGACGCAATCAGTTCAATGAACCTGTTTGATCTAGGCGGACAGTATCTACGAGTAGGGCGGGCTGTAACGCCCCCTGACGCTAAGAATCTTGGGCCGGTTAGCACGGCGCCGCCATCGGCATTGCCTAATGCTACGGCCATGGCCGCAGGTATAATGCGGGTTGTTCAAGTTTTTTTCTTCTGAATATTTCGTCTTTTTTATCCTCGCTGGTTGGTAAAATATTCTAATTCTGATTTGTTTTATTTGATTTTTGCTAGTTGATATGTTCTTTAAAAAAATAGTGTCGTGATAGTTTCTATTAGTGAATATTGTACTAACGAAAATTGTAGTTGTATCTACCAATGAATATTGTAGCTACTGCAGTTCCACTAATGTATATTGTAGCTGATTTATTAATCAACAAATATTGTAGCTGCTGTACCCATTAGTAAATTTTTTAGCAGTGATATCCACTAATGAAAATTTTAGTTGTATCCACCAATAAATATTGTAGCTTTTGTACTGCTGTATCCACTAATGTATACTGTAGCTGCTTTATTAACCTACAAATATTGTGGCTGCTGTATGAATTAGTGAATATTGTAGCATTGGTATCCACTAATGAAAGTTGTAGTTGTATCCCCCAATTAATATTGTAGCTGCTGCTGTATCCACTAATGTATATTGTAGCTGCTTTATTAATCAACAAATATTGTAGCTGCTGTATCCACTAATAAATATTGTAGCTGCTGTATCTGCAAAGCTGACTGCCCTGGATGCTGTGGCGAAGAATAAAAAAATTTAAACCCCCACCAAGACAACTTCCTGAATACGCCCTAAAAATCATTTCTTATCTCCAATAAAAGATTGTTCTCAATTTTGTACAACCTACATTTTTTCAGAAAAAGAAAAGACGGTCTAGGTCAAGATCTAGATCTAGGGAGGAGAGGGAAAGAGAGAAGAGAAGGAGAGAGGAGAGAGAAAAGGAGAAGATTAAGAAGGAGATTAAGAAGGAGAAAGAAAGCTCCAAGCCAATCCCTGTCCCTCCCCTTATAACCAAAGGTAATATTTTTATTTACAAAATTGCGGATTTTTCACCAAGATCATCAAAAATAATTTTTAGCGATGAATTTCCCCATTTTTTACATATCTGGAACAAATTGTAATATATTTTGGCAATTTTGTTCGTTAGATAAATTGTCAAAAGTTGGTTCTTTTTTTAAGGAACACTTCTGACAATCCCTTTTACGAAATATGTTACAGATGAAGCTCTTGAGACACCGGATGCTCTGAAAAATGCTGCTGCTGCTGCTCAGCAGCTTGAACTTCTGAAAAAGCTTGATGAAGGTGAGATGAGAATATAATGCAAAATTTTGAATATTTTTTTATACAAGACTGACATTTCCAATAATTTTAGAGACGGACATCTTTTTATAGACTTTGCTTGTCTGTCTGTTTGTGTTCGATAAACGTCAAAACGGATAAACCGATCCGGCCCAAATTTTGTGTGTGACCTCACATGACTCCAGGGAGGGTAAATGAAACATCAAAATTTGAAAAAAATCCTGCAAAATGGATATTTTTTTTGGATGCGCCAAATCAAAGAGGAAAATCCGCCAAAAATTGAAAATGATTTAAAATGGCCGAATTTCATAGCAATGGTTAATAATTTTAATATCTTTCTTTTAAATAACAACCATTTTGAATTATGTAAAGACATGTTTTCTACAATAATTATGATTTGTTTTTAATAATTTTTTAGAACTTTAATTTAAAAAATCAATGAAGACGATTTTTCATCGTGATTTTTTGAGAAAGCCATTTTGATCAATATGATAAAACGACAATTCAAAATAATTTGTTAGGGTAACTTTTGTAACAATTTTTTGAGGGGATTTAAACAAAAACAACCTTTCGAGTTTACAATTTGTAAAATAAAGTGAAGGATGTAAAAAGATGTAACAGTTTGCCAGTAGACATTAAAAATGCCACCTCATTTACTAGTTTTAAGAATATGTATGTCAAACATATTTCTTCAATGTGATAGGTTTTTGGTGCGCCGAGATCCCTGGTGAAGGTGTCAGGGGCGCCCAGATCCCTGGTTTAACTTAATTAGAAACAAAAAAGATATAATGACTCTCTAAAAATGTCACAAAAGCTATCTCCTAGCGAAAAATATTCCAGTAATTTTGTAATCCAGGAGTCTTCATTTTATGATTTGGGCTTTTTTAAAATAACATTTGATGAATTCAGGACAGGAGCCTGTAACTCTGGCTCAGCACGAAGACATGTCGATCAAGGGAGTGAGTGCCCGCCAGCTTGTCATGCAGAAACTTATGAAAAACAGAAGCGAGTCTGTTGTACTGCTTATAAGGTAAATATACATGTACATTGTACAGTTACACCCATGTACATTGTACAATGTAATGCGTTTTAAGCGAGCATTACTTTCCACTCAGTAGAATTTTTTGTATGCATAATTGGTGCGTCTTGGGAGAAAATGATAATGTATATATTGATTGATTGATTTGATCAGGAATATGGTTGGTGCAGATGAGGTGGATGAGGAGCTCCAGGGTGATATTGAAGAGGAATGCAACAAATATGGAAAGGTGGGACACTTTTCCAACCTTATTTTGTTTTGCTAGATTTAAGTTTTCGTTCCCCCGGATTTATCGATTTTCGAGGATTTCTTAAAATTATGAAATTACGCAATTTAATAAGATTTGTCCCTTGCAACATATTTGTGTTCAGGTCGAGCACGTGATCATCTACAAGGAGCAGCAGGACGAGGATCAGAACTCAGAGATCGTTGTCAAAATATTCGTCGAATTCCAAAACTTTGATCAGGTCCAGATACAGTTTTTCAAGGAACTCAGGACTTACGACGTCTTTTCTAATTACACTGCATTTAAAAAGCCACATTCAGATTAACAACGTTCTTATGTTTTTTTTTCCAAGAAAAAATGATGCCGAAATTTTTTTTCCAAATGTATGTAATTGTGATAACTTGCAGATTAATGCGACAGAAACAAAGATAGAACTGGACAGAATTGATGATTAAAACAAATTTACGAGTTTTCGTATTTTAAAGATATGCTTAAAGGGTTCCGTTGTTGATCGGACATATAGTTCTTATATTAAGTTGCCATATAAATCGACAGTCTATATAAACATTAACTTCTTTCTCGTCAGAAATATTTTGACCAAAGACCGCCAAAAAACGCTACAATTCTTCCGCTGGAATGTTTAATTTTTTTAGGTGAAAACGGCTCGGGATGCATTACATGGACGCTTTTTCAGTGGTCGAAAAATCACAGCGATTGTTTACGATCAAGAACTCTACGATCAACAAGATCTTTCAGGATAAATCAGCATGGGACCAGGGACAAGGCGAATATCAGAAAATCGTCCAAAAGTATCATAACTATTAATTATTTTGTATTTCCGCGCCATTATTTTGAATTTAATCTAGATCTATTTGATTTTGTAAATTATAATTTCATGATCGGACCATTTAAGATCTTAAGACAATTTAACAATTTTTGTTTCAATAGCTTTCCGTTTTTTGTTGTTTTTGGTCCTAATCAAATAAAATACAATTCCTAAAATGTCGGAATAAATTCACATTCAGCGAATGGTTCACTCACAAACATGTTTTGCAATCTTTTATTTCAGATAATCTTTCACTTCACAATGGTTCTTGACATTGACCAGTTCCGACCTGAGAAGGGAGGAAACCCGGAGAAAATCCGGGAGAATCAGAAAAACCGGTTTTGTGACGTCTCTTCTGTCGATCGTATTATCGATCTTGATAACCAGTGGCGGGCTGCAAGGCATGCGGTGAGATAGAATTAAATTATTTCTTTTCAATCATTATTCTTTGTTTACTTTTTTTAGCCCTGCCATAATGTTATTAATGACTTAATTTTAGGTTAAAAGCAACTGCTATTGATCCAATTTTTGTCTTTATTTTACTATGGGTAGTAAAACTGAAAATGCACTCAAACTCAGGATTTACAGATCTTTAAAAAGTTTTATATGTCTCAAATGAATCCTAAAGAATTTGTCCACAACACTGCATACTCAGTTTAACTACCTGACATTGCCAGTCTGTCCCTTTAATTTTAGTGAAAATTTGGTAGGATTGTATACTTCTAAATACTTCAGGGGTGTTTTTTTATTCATTCATTTTATTCATTCTATTAACACCATTCCCTCGCACCCCATCAAAAATCATTTTAAAGGAAAAATAAAATAAACTTCCTGGTGTAAAGTGTCAAAAATGGGATAAACTTACTTTTAAATTTTCCTTCCACCCTTGAACACAATATTTGACAATAATGTACATTTCAAAAAGTACAATTTTTAATTNCTTGCGTCTTACGGTAGTTGAAAATGTGTTGCAGGCTGATAACTGGAACAAGTTGAAGAACATGGTCTCCAAGGCTATCGGAGAGAAGATGAAGAAGAAGGAACCCGTCGGAGATTCAGATTCTTTAGAGGAGTCAATAGTTGCTGGTCTCTCAGGTTAGAGGCCCTATTTCAGGGGTGTATATTATCTCAAACTCACATCCCCCTTTCTACTCTGAATGCTAAGAACGGGTATAACATTTTGGGGAAATATACTTGATACAAAAAATAAAACTGGACAAACACCTCAATAAACCATACTGCTGTAAAATCTGAACAGAGTTTTTTACTCCCTTTCTCAGAGAATAACATTAAACTATGAGATCAAAACGGCTCCACCGATTGGTCGCAACTCACACGACGCCCAGGGATGGCTTATGGAAGATTAAAAGTAAATATTTTGCTGGAGAAATGTCTTTTTAAGGCCTTTTTAAAAAATCTTTCAGTGTTTTCAGAAAAATCCGCAAAATTTTGAGTTTTACAAGTAGACGAAAAAATAGCCGCCTGAAAAGCTTCATTTAAATGCTTAAAATGTTGTAAGTAAAGGGGCGAAAAGCGTCCTGGAAGCCTGGTTTTAAAAAAAATATATTTTTTATGTTTTTAAATAATATTATTAAGATTTAAGCTTGGAGATCTGTGGAGGTTTGACGGTTACCCAGATGAAGAAAATTAGAATCTTGATAGACGAGGAAATATATTTAAAAATATCATATTACCATTAATATAAATATCCATTATCATTATTGAAATGATCCAATTAATTTTTATTAGATGTAAAGTTGGAATTATGATCACGTATTGTCTAATTGATGAATTGATTTTTTTGCGTTCTGTTAACATTTATGTGTTTTACACAAATATTATATGATTTTACTCAAGGTATAGTTAAGTAACACATCCTGTCCCGGGTAATTCGAGGGTTGGCCATGTTTTCTATTTAAATTATTTAAAAATGTTATTTCAAACTTTTTTTTTGAATATTTTTAAATAAATGTTGGTTCCAGGCGGTTGAATCTAACAGTAAGGATTTGGTTAAGCTAGAGGAGGAGAGGGATAATGTGCTCAAGGAAATGGGAAACTGGCTCCACCCGAGTGTTCCTATTAGGTCAGTAGTTTCTGTGTTTCAATTTGAGTGATTGATTGATTAATATTTTTTAATTGATCTCAGTATTTGATGCATTTATGAATTAAAATTAACTTACAATTGATTGTTTTATTAGTTGATTGATTTGATAAATTGATTAATTGATTTAATTCTATTAAATTAAATTAATTCAGTTAATTGATTTAATTAAATTAATTAATTGATAAGATTTTAGTTTTCAATCCAATTAAAAATTTTTCCACCAATATAATGAGTCTTGATTTTTTCAATTAATCTCAGATGGGGTACAGTATCAGTACAGTACAGTACAGTACAGTACAGTACAGTACAGTACAGTACAGTACAGTACAGTACAGTACAGTACAGTACAGTACAGTACAGTACAGTAAGCTAGAGGAGGAGAGGGATAATGTGCTCAAGGAAATGGGAAACTGGCTCCACCCAAGTGTTCCTATTAGGTCAGTAACATAGATAAATAAATAAACATAGATAGAAATCACCAAGAATTGTAGTCCGCGAACTCATACTTCTAAGGTTCGAAGTGTACTTCAATGATACGCGGGGTGGTTTGGTGTTTTAATGGATTTCATAATTATTAAACCACTCAGGAGTGAATTTTATTTTGAGAATATCAAATTATTTCACTGAGCAATAAATCATATTGACGAGAACTGAAGAAGGACATGAGAAGGACTAAAATAACTTAAATTTCTTTTTACAGAACTCATGTGCACCACAAGTACTCAATGACATAAGAACAGCCAATGTTCACAGCCGACCTAGTTAATCTATATAATAGGAATATCTTAAAACATCTCTGTACATTTATATCTTTTAAGATGAAAAATGTCGTCTTATGCGCAATCTATCTTTATCTATGGTCAGTAGTTGCCATGTTTCAATTTGAGTGATTGATTAATATTTTTTAAATTGATCTCAGGATTTGATGCATTTATGAATTAAAATTTACTTACAATTGATTGTTTTATTAGTTGATTGATTTGATAAATTGATTAATTGATTTAATTAATTGATAAGATTAGGTGATCAAATCGATTTATTGATTCTATACTTTATAGTTTTCAATCCAATTAAAAAATTTTCCACCAATATAATGAATAATTAATCTCAGATGGGGTACAGTATCAAAAGCCTTGGAAAAGTAAAGATAAATAAGGTCTAAATTATTTCTTTCAAGAGATTTTTTTCGCGAGGACATGATCGGGTGGTTACGATCAAATCTCGGAATTTGTCTATTGTGAAAGATAAATAAGGTCTAAATTATTTCTTTTAAGAGATTTTTTGTCCCCAGGACATGATCGGGTTGTTACGATCAAATCTCGGAATTTTTCTATTGTGACAGTTTGGTGTTGTATGGGTTTATATTGATCTACCAGGGGTTGTAATCTGGCAGTACATTCATTTATCCACGCTTCATTCATACTGAGAAGAGGGTGCTGTGCTGGTTAAAGTAATTGTCATGTTTTTTATCAGGAGAAATCACAAGATTTGATCTTGATTAAACCAGAATTCTTCCTCCACATCCATATATAGTGTCTTGCCTATCTTGTTTTATTTTAATGTCAATAGTATATCCAGGATTAGATTAAATTGTTTAATTTATTGATAAGATTAGTTCGTTAATTTAGTTAATTAATTGAATTCTTTTGTTTAGTAATGACGAGGATGCAGACAATAGAACTGAAAGAACTTGGGGAGATATTGAGAAGAGAACTAAATATAGTCATGTCGATCTTATTCACATGATCGGTACGATATTTATGATCTTTATATTATCTTTATTCTTTATATTATCTTTATTCTTTATATTATGATCCACTGTGTCCATGTGTTTTCCATTTTTGTAGAAATCATTGATTTTTGGTTAAATTAAAGAATGAAGACAGCAAAGAAAAAAGAAAAGTTACTGAAGTTTTTTTTTTCATTCTGCGAATTATTTGTTGGGTTGATTGATGGGTTGTTCAATTTATTGACTGATCGTCTGTGTCTGATTGATTAATTGATAAATTGATTAATTTACTAAATAATTGGTTGATTAAGTGGTTGACTAAAATGATACTGAATTTTGATATGAATGATAAATTGGTTGATAATGGATTGATTTTTTGATTGATTGATTGATTGATTGATTGATTGATTTCTAAGGTGGGGCAGATCTTGAGCGTGGAACAGTTACCAGCGGTGGAAGAGGCTACTATCTTCAGGTATTAAATACGATCAATAAAACCAGTTTATATATGAGAGATGTTTTAAAAATATGATTTTTGGTTCAGTAAAGTGCCAAGTAAGAAGATATAGGTCACTAGGTGCCCTTGAATCCAAGGCATGGTAATTTTTCTATGAATTCTTTAAATTGTTCATTTAATATGTATGTTGCCTATGAATTGTTGCTTCATTGCAGGGTAGCTGATCTGAGTCTCAAAAAACAACTAAATTGTACAGCTGAAACAAATTTTTTATCAAGTAATTGAGTTTTTCCTCATTTTCCATTTGCTGAGAGCTATGGGATTTGGATTTTTGAATTATGATTTTCATTTTATTTTTATCTTTAGTCGACTTGTACATATGTAAATAATATCAAAAAAGATTTGAATTGGCTTGGTTTTAAAAATTGCATCGACCACGTTAACCCCCTAAACTTCTATCTCCGAATAAGTAGTTTTTAAATGTAGAATTTCAAAAATAAATAAAATGTTCATTTAAATTCTTTTTTACAAAGATTTATCAATTAATATTTTTGTTCAGGGTCCTGCAGTGTTTCTTCAGCAGGGTCTTATTCAGCTTTCCTTGCAAACTTTGTACAAGTAGGTTGCATATTTATTAAAGGGTTATTTATTTGCTTAAAAGGGGTAAAAGAATCTATTCAAATTGACAATTAATTTTTACTTTAAATTGTACATTGTTCATAAACCAATGTTTAAAATTTATATTTACTGATCTTTAAATTGTTAACTGTGAATACTGTACATATGTTCTTTGAGTCATGCGGTGCTTAGGTTAATGCGGTTCAACGGATCAGCAAGATTTTGCAAACCCGGATCCGTAAAAATATGCGGATCCACGGATCCGGATCCAAGGGGCAAAATATCAACCAAAAACTGCAAAAAAAACTATTAAATAAAGAGAAATTATAAAAATTTCTTGATTTCCGAATGGTTCATCAAGATTTAGTAAACAAAGAAGCGAGAAAAATATGACAACAAATTTGAAAATTTGCTTTGTTAAAAAACGATCCATTTTTCCCAGTGCGGATTCAGGATCTTACTTTTTTAACAATTAAATTAAGAGATTGAATATAATATTATATACTTTTTAAAATAGCAAGATTACTGGATTACGGAAAATTTTTCGCTAAGAGATCACTTATGTGACATTTTCTGCGAGTCAATATATCTTTTTTGTTTCTACTGAAAGTTCATTTAGTTAAACCAGGGATCCCGGTGCCCCTGACACCTTTACCTGGGATTTCGGGGCACCTATCATATTGAAGAAATATGTTTGTTATACATAATCTTAAAACTAATCAATGAGATGGCATTTTAAATGTCTATTGGGAAACTGTTCTTTTAATAACTCTCAAGCTAAGGAAGTTTCTCCTAATATCTAGATTGCAGAGTTAAAAAGATTAACTTTAATATTATTAGGAGAGATTATACTCCCCTGTACACACCGTTCTTCATGAAGAAGGAGATAATGCAGGAGGTTGCCCAGCTCTCACAGTTTGATGATGAACTTTACAAGGTAGACAGTTTTTAATACTTAATCTTGTAATCTGAGGTCGAAATTGATGAATATTGATAAGTATTAGAACTAAATACGAATAGTTAAACTCCCACAATGAGTTTAAATGTCGGGAGTAAGAGGTTTACTAATCGCTTTTCATTGAATTTATTTTCCTTTTTCCATGATACATTTTCCCTTAATTTTTACTAAGCTATAAAGAAGAAGTAAAAAATATGATTGGCTTGAAGTACTTTGAATTACTTTGATATGCTTTATAGGTTTAGATAAAAAATTTAAATTCGGTGTTTAATAAGAATTGGAAATCCTTTTTTCCCTTTTACAACGATTTCTTTTATTTAGATTTTTAAACGCCTAGAAAGATTATCTGTTCTAACACTTTCCGTAAATGTGGAATAAAATTTTGCTTTTTAACCCTATCACTAAGGGGGGGGGGGTTGTTTTCTGTACACCCCTGTTTTTTCCCATAACAGCTTATAATAGAGTTTTAGCAACTTATTTACTTTTATAACTTCGAAGTTGTGTGAACATTTTGCAAATTTTTTTTTTTTTATAAAGAAGGTAGAGTAGAGGAGGGTCAAATGCTGGTTAGTGTTTAAAAATATTAAAATAATCCATGTATCTTTTTTCAATTATGCTACATATTTAAAATATTTTTTTTTAAAAGCCCTTAAAACTAGATGAAGAAACATTTATCACTTACAAAAAAAAAAAAAAATATTTTTCCTTGCACATTAACAATTAAATTTTGAGTTATAATTTTTTAAATGAGCAAAATAGATTTAACCAAAATAGCCCAATCTGGATAGAATTAAGGACTTATTTAAAATGTATGTAGCAAAATAATTTTACATTAAATACATTTTTTTTTCTACTTAATTCGTAGGTAGTAGGTAGTTCCTCCACAAACACATCAATTGCGTCAAACATTAAGTTCCCTGATCCATCCACATCTGATGGATTAGTCCACCTTGACAAATATTTGGCCGATAAAAGCTATATTATCGGTGTCGAACCTTCCCAGGCTGATGTAGAAATGTTCCAGAAAATTTCTGGAAAATCCGTGAAAAAGTGTGAAAATATTTCTCGCTGGTTCAACCATATTAAATCATTTGTTGGAGAGTTTAAAAGTCTAAAAGAAGTTGGTGTTCCTGGTTCAAGCCCCAACTCTGGAACAAGTTTAGGAAAGGTAGATGAATGTTGAATGTATCCCCGTTTGCTTTCAGGACTGCAAACCCCATTAATATGTTTTCGAAACCACCCTTTTAAGTTAGTTCTAGCTTCCAGTAGTTGTCTTTTCTCACTTCTCAGAGCCCAGTGATTAGGTTACGTTCTAAATATCTTACCATTATATATTTTCAACGTTCGTCAAAAGAAACCTTAAGAGACATGTTTAATTTTCTTTAAAACTTTGTGTTATGCTGTGTAATTGTTCCACTGCTTTACATTTTTTTAGATTATGATTTTTTTTTGTAGTTTATGCCCTAAGGGTAAAATTTTCCAAGTCAAAACTCCTAAGGCGATAACTTTGTATGATCAAACCGTTTATGTAGCATTAAATTGTTTCTCTCGCATCTCGTGTGATTTATGAAGCCAACGCTCTATCAACCTAAAGTTTCGGCCCCGGAACTAGAATTAGATTGTAGTTATAATAAAGTTTAGAAAGGAATTTCTATTAAATACCTAGGAAATAGTACTGTCAACGCATTTAACTTATATTTGAAGGGAAATATATTTTCCAAATCTTAATCCTTAGACCCCAATTAGGGGTATACTGAGAGTATCTGCGAGTAAATATTTATATCACTATTTTTACTCAAACAATGTGTCCAGCAAATCGTTGGTAAATGTTGTTAAACATTTTAGGATTTCTAGCGTTTTTAACTTCTCCCGGCAAACTGTTCCATAAATTCACTACTTTTTGTCTATAAAATGAGCTCTTTCCAGTCTAGATCGCGAGGGAATTAGCTTTAGGGGATCTGCAGTTAGAGGAGTTAGTCTATGTTCTCCTGACCCGACTGTGTTAAACCATGTTTCACTCTTAACATCATCAAAACCATGGATAATCTTAAATGTTTGTAGCATGTAACATGGGTTTAAAGCTTTAAATTATTATCTTCATTTATTCTCCGACAAAATATTGAAAATACACGTTTATTCATGTTTCGACTGCCTCTCTGTTTTCTTATGTAGTCCTCATTAAATATTTTGCTTTAAATGGCTTTGAATCGCATTAAATGAAGTAACTAGCATAATTGGTTTTGTTGATATTAATTTGTTTAGTTCTATCGTGTGCTTTTTCCGTTGGAAGTCACCCCAACTGGGGCGGCTTTGTGATCAAAAACGATTGATTGATTGATTTGATTGATTGATTGATTTCAGGTTGTGGGAAAGGGAAGTGAGAATAAGGATGATAAGAGCGTGGATGAGAAGTATTTGATCGCTACATCAGAGCAACCTATTGCTGCATTCCACAGGTAGCTTGTCATATTCTATTAATATTTATTTTTATCTTTCTATTATACCTTCTGAACTGATTGAACGTGATTCCATCAGAGACTAAAGAATCTTCTACTGCTGTAAGAGATACTCAAAACTATGAAAAAACAATCAAAAAAACAAAAACAATCCGCAACTCTCAAGTCAAGAAAATCTCTCTGTTAATAGCTCAATATGAGTACTTGAGGATTAATCAACAATAAACAATAACCACAATATATGTTACTAGGCTTTTAGGATTGTGAACATGTTCTTTTGTTTACAATTTAAAACGAAGAAGAAAAAAAATTGCGGATTTAAAAAAAAAATTCGCGGATTGTCAAGAATTGAAATTTTTTTACAAAATTAAAAACCTTTAAAACAAATTTTTTTTATTTTTTGATTCATAAAACTTCCCTGTGGTCACGTGATGTCCCACAAAAAATTTGGGCCCGATCGGTTCAGCCGTTTTGACGTTTATTGGATACAAACAAACAGACAAACAGACAGACAAGCCAAATTTATATATAGATGTATGTCGTGACAATTATTTATTATTTCAGTCGATATCGTTCATTTGGTTGAGTTTTAGCTCAGTGGGTTGCAAGGGTCGCTGTGAAATAATTTAAGATTATTTACCAAAATCAAATTATATAACAAGCGGATAAAGGAAAAGTATTAAGAATATTAATGTCTAGGGATGAGTGGATTAATGAAACGGATTAAGAATATTGATGTCTAGGGATGAGTGGATTAATGAAACGGATTAAGAATATTAATATCTAGGGATGAGTGGATTAATGAAACGGATTAAGAATAATGATGTCTAGGGATGAGTGGATTAATGAAACGGATTAAGAATATTAATATCTAGGGATGAGTGGATTAATGAAACGGATTAAGAATAATAATGTCTAGGGATGAGTGGATTTATGAAACGGATTAAGAATATTAATGTCTAGGGATGAGTGGATTAATGAAAAGAATTGAGAATATTAATGTCTAGGGATGAGTGGATTAATGAAACGGATTAAGAATATTAATGTCTAGGGATGAGTGGATTAATGAAAAAGATCTTCCAATCAAATACGCTGGAGTCTCTTCATGCTTCAGACAAGAGGTGAATAAGATAAAGGAAAAAACAATTATAAAAATTAAAAATAAAACAATATGAAAAAGATGAACAATTATCTACAACTATTAACATTGAACATTTTTGGAAAATTATGATTAATCAGTGAAATAATAATTTGAAAGTTCAAAGGAATAAAATGTTGTAAAGAGAATATTTGTAGAAACACCAATTACTGTTTCTTATTTAGTCACAACAGTATTGGATGATTTAGACAACCGTTTTGATAGGTTTAATTTGAGATTTTTAAGTGTTCGTAAAATGTTATTTCAACAATCGTATGTTTTAGGTTGGATCTCATGGTCGAGATACTAGAGGCATATTTCGAGTTCATCAGTTTGAGAAGGTAATCAAGCTTTATCTGGATCTGTACACGCTTTTTGTGACTGAGCCTGAACTGGTGTGAATATTTTAACCATTTTCTGACTGACTTATTATAGTGATAACATTGATAAGTTGATTAGATCTGACAATTAGTGATGGATTGATAAGTGATTACATCTCCTAATGATGAGTGATTAGTGATTAAATCTCCTAGTGATGGATTGATTAGTGATTACATCTCCTAATGATGGATTGATTAGTGATTACATCTCCTAATGATGGATTGATTAGTGATTACATCTCCTAATGATGGGTTGATTAGTGATTAAATCTCCTAATGATGGATTGATTGGTGATTACATCTCCTAATGATGGATTGATTAGTGATTACATCCCCCAATGATGGATTGAATAGTGATTACATCTCCTAATGATGGATTGAATAGTGATTACATCTCCTAATAATGGATTGATTAGTGATTACATCTACTAATGATAGATTGATCAATGATTACATCTCCTAATGATGGATTGAATTGTGATTACATCTCCTAATGATGGATTGAATAGTGATTACATCTCCAAATGATTAATTGATTAGTGATTACATCTCCTAATGATGGATTGAATAGTGATTACATCTCCTAATGATGGATTGATTAGTGATTACATCTACTAATGATAGATTGATCAGTGATTACATCTCCTAATGATGGATTGATGGATTATTTATCGATGACATTTCTCAAAGATTTATTGATAAATTGATTAATTGGTTTAATTTCTTAGAAAGTTATTAACTCAATACATCTCATTGTGAATGATTGATTGATTAGGTTGAACAGTTTGTGATTACATCCCCCCATGATGACTGCAGCTGGAAGATGATGGATGAAATGATTGACAATGCGGAGACTTTCTGCAAGTAAGCTTTTAACCCGAAACCTAATTCCAGAATGTATACTAAGCTAAAGTGTACGAGGCAAATGAGTACTAGGCGGATGAGTACTAGGCGAATGAGTACTAGGCGGATGAGTACTAGGCGAATGAGTACTAGGCGGATGTGCACCTGGCAAAATGTTACTGATCCCTCATAAACCACTGGACCAATTTTTCTTAGTTTTGGTCGGGGAACTCAGTTGTACCAATGGAATGTTTTTAGCTTGGTTTAAACGTTTTAAGTTGAGTGGGTCTACTTTTATAGCGAATACGGATCGGATTGTTTTTAAGGCTGTTTTCCCTGAATTCGTAAAAATGGATAAAAATGCATTAATGTTAAGGACTCATTATAATAAGTTGTTTCTCATTTTTTGTCATTTTTCCCTTCCAAATCCCTGCGACCACCTGTGTTTAAAGTTTTAACAGAGTTTTATCCATAGGTTGTTGAATATCCCGTACAGAATTAACAGAGTTTTATCCATAGGTTGTTGAATATCCCGTACAGAATTAACAGAGTTTTATCCATAGGTTGTTGAATATCCCGTACAGAATTGTGTGTATCGTGTCTGGAGCTTTGAACAATGCCGCAGCAAAGAAGCTTGATCTTGAAGCTTGGTTTCCAGGCAGTGGAGCTTTCAGGGAGCTGGTTTCTTGCAGCAACTGCTTGGATTATCAGGTAGAAATACATTTTTAATGGACCTTGACGAAATTTTGAGATATCCTCTTTATGAAGGAGGTTATGCCCGATTATCCATGGTACCTTTTCCACCTAAATAAACAATGAGCTAATTTAAATTTGTATTTTGTTTATTGCAGATGTTTCTCCTCAAATATTGTTATTTGATATTTGTGGCAAACATAACAAAACTATTTGGTTTTCATAAAACAATAATTTCTTTGTCTATGAAGTGAAAAAAAAATTTAACAACTCCATAGAGCTGGGTTTAGTCTTCAAATGTAACACTGCTAAAACGTTCCAGGGTTAATATATTTTCGTAATTTATGTTTTCATTCTTATCCTAATATTTTTTTTAGGGAATTCTCAACTTTTGCATTTTATTTCGCAGTGTATAATTTAAGGGTGATCAATATTAGAATCAAGCCAACCGCCCACCGGGGGTTACTGGGTTTTTACTTAAAAAATATTCCAATAAAATAAAAATTTAAAATCGTCCACACGGTTGCGAATTGACGATTTAATCTCAGAGAAATTACCGTAAGGCCCCCAAAAAAATATTTTGAAAAAATGCATGTTATATATCATTTGGAAATTTTATGCTGAATTCAAATCTGAAAAGTGTTATTAAAAATATTAAAAAATAATGAAAGTTACAGCCAAGTAACGGCCCAAAAATCAGTTTTCTAGCTGTAACTTATTCAATTTTCATTTTTTTTAAGCGCTTTTCTGATTTAAAAGTAACATATTTCCAAGAAAATGATGTACAACTTGAAAGTTTTAAGAATATATTTTTGGGGCCTTACGGTGATTTCTCCGATATTAAATCGTCAATTCGCAACCGTATGGACGATTAGATGATTTCTAAAAAAAATCGCCCCTATTGGTTATAAGTCCGCTTTTTTACCAATGTACATTGAACAGTATACACTTTAAACTCTTCCATAAAGCAGGGGAAAATATATTCTACTAAAAAATCTACACAGTTGAGCATTCTTCAACCCCAAAAAATCAGCGGAGGGAAGATCCGATAAAAAAATTAAACTTTGTCAAAAAAATTTTACAGGGTTTTATTTTAAGGGTAAAAATACTCCACTGAACACTGAACAATTACATCTTCTTTCTAATTTATTTTTTGACATTTTGATTGTTTTAACAGAATTATTTTTAGGCTAGAAGACTTAGAGTTCGGTATGGTCAAACTAAGAAAATGAACCAGGTAAGTGCTAAACAGATTTTTCCTAAAAATGGTGGATGTCAAAGTCTACTACAGTCAACGAGTATGGGTTCACAGTCACACCCTTTGCTAATGGTGGATGTCAAAGTCTACTACAGTCAACGAGTATGGGTTCACAGTCACACCCTTTGCTAATGGTGGATGTCAAAGTCTACTACAGTCAACGAGTATGGGTTCACACCCTTTGCTAATATTAAATGTCAAAGTCTACTACAGTCAACAAAAATGGGTTCACACCCTTTGCTAATGAAAGATGTCAAAGTCTACTACAGTCAACGAGAATATATTGTTACTTTTGCTGAATCAATATGTATTTATAAGTTCAATGAATGCATTCCTTAAAATGTTTTGATTATTTGAGTGCTGACTAATTATCTATTTGTAAATGCACAATGAATGTATATTTAGTTGAGATTTCAATATGCATACTTTGTTTCATCAAAAACGATCAAACAAAATTATCAAACATTATATTTTCAATTGGCTCATAGTAAATTTTCTTTTGTGTTTTATTTTAAGCTAAACTATCATGCATTGTTATTTTGTATTTTGTGTTTGAAAATAAATACTATAAACTATAAACTATAATTATTTAAACAAACCTTGGTGTTTTTTACTCCCTGTTTAAATATTGTTATGAAGGTATCCCTAAATTTTATTTTCCCAGACGTGATGCGTCTTTTTAAAGTATGTATCATTCTAATTGCACATTTTCGAAAATGTGCATCAATAAAATGTTCAGGGGACGGGCTCTTCTGACACTAGAATATTCGGAAAAACATACCTTTAGTTTGTTGCATTGAATTTTTTTTGTATAAGTGAAAGTAAATAACATAGATTTCATATTTGTTTATATCTGTATCAATAAACATCAGAATGGTGAACCCATGAACTATTTTTAAAAGTCTGAAAAAATTTAAGAAATATTAAAAATGTCGATTTTGACAGAAACAGCTAAACGCTAAAAATGTTAATTAGGAGCAGTCTACTTAAATAATAAAATAATAATCCAGGCGACTGAGTACTGTCATATGTTGAATGCTACAATGTGTGCTGTGACTAGGGTTATCTGTGTTCTCTTGGAGATGAATCAAACTGAAACAGGTGATCAAACATTATCTGTGTAAAGTCTTTAGATTTTAATAGCTATTTTTACTCAAACAATGTATCCAGCATGTCTTTTGTAATTGCTTTTTGTTTGGACTCTTTTAACATTATTAACTCAGGGGTATACATATTTAACAAAATCATTATGTATTATCGCTATTGGGGTAAAAATATGGAAAACATGCCACGAAGAAGTTTAACTTGTTATTTTTTCTCCAAGAAGCATTTTTTGGCATTGATTAGATTAATCAATACTGGCGGTTTTTTCACCGTCTGAAAGGGCAAAAATGTAAAATAATTCAATTTTTTTTACTGCTAGGCATTAAAGTTCCTGAAGCCTTGAAGATGTATATGCCGGAAAAGTACAAGTAAGTTATTGAAATGTTCTTAAAGTTTTTCACATTAGAATAGAACAGAAGTTTGTCAAAAACAGAAATTAAAATGTAATTTTTTATTTTAATAAATTAATGATTTTGTCCGGTTGAAAATTTTTTATTTTGATACATTTTTAAGATTTAATTTTTAGGGAAGAGATTCCTTTTGTGAATGCTGCGCCTATTGATGAGGCAGAAAGCAAGAAGGCAAAGAAACAGAAGGAGGGAATGAAGAAATAGAAGATTGTCAAGATGAACATGAAGATGATTAAGATCATCACTTGAAACCGGAGACTCCTTGTGATTTCATATTTCTAGCTTTAACATCGAACCTAAACCAGTTAAACCAGTTAATCCAGTTCGAAAATTTGAGAAATTATTTTCATCACATTTATAGAACTAAAGAAATTCTCCTGGTCGGTTTATCATTCTCTAGCACATTCTTTTTTTCCCACAGCTCAAACTCTCATTTAGTAAAATGGTTGCTTAATGGCTTGGTTTCAGATTTAAAATGTTTCAGCAACTATTGTTGTAAACCATCCAATGAACAGTTAAGGGAGGATACTAACTTAAAAGGTAATCTAAGAAAATACTAACTTAAAAGGTAATCTAAGACAAATATTGCGATATCTTAAAGGGAGTGTTCGCGAAAAATGAAAGGGGGTATAGGCTTAATGCGATAAAAAATGCGCTTTTGATCGCTTCTAATCTTACTTCTATCTGTTGCGTCTATAAGGAGAAAATTGTTAAAAACGACTAATACCGAAGAACGTAGTATCCATACAAATTCAGAAAGATGCAACATACGACTTAGACCGTAAAAAAATCTATTTAATTTCAAACAAATCTTACTTACTTGGATACTTGAGTGGTGATCCTCAGAGCCCCAGGTAGGAGCATGTTGAGGATAGCTGGAGTGGCCCGCACAGTCCAGAGGTCAGGTCCTCGTCCGTAGAGAGTAGTCAAGTAAGTCCACACTCCCTGGACCTGGCACAATAGTTGTGGGATTAGTTGTTAATAAAGTGTGCGTCAAGCATGCTTTTAAACATTTTTAATGATCTGGCATCCTTAACCTCAGCTGGGAGAGCATTCCAAGAGTTAACAACCCTGTTAGAGAAGAAATGCAATCTTGGATCTGTCCTAGAGCGTTTAGGGATTATGTTGTATTGATGGGAGGTCAGTCTTGTTGGTCGTGGGTTATCTGGACCAACTAAATCAAACCAAATATCTCTGCTTACGTTGTCAAAGCCTTTTATGATCTTGAAGGTTTGCAGGAGGTCAAACCTTGACCTTCTTTGTTCAAGTGACATAATACCTAACTCCTGTAGTTTCTCCAAGTAAGAATTTCCCTTCAGTCCTGTTATTAGGTTTACAGCACGCTTTTGTACTCGTTCCAGGATATTAATGTCACACCGTGACCAGGGTGACCACGCTGGGATGGCAAATTCTAGGTGACATCTGACAAATTGTATATATAACTTTAGAAAAGTTTTCCTGTCTCGGTAAAGAAAGGCTCTAGTGATTTGGACGAGGACACTCGATGCTCTCCTAGCAGCCTCAGCACACTGTAGTGACGGTTTCATAGATTTATCTATAATCACGCCTATGTCTCGTTCAGAATCCACTGAGTCTAACTTTTCACCATTCATGAGGTATTCAAAATTCTTGTTACTGCGACCCACATGCAGGACTTTACATTTTTTAACATTGAATTCCATACACCATTTAGAAGCCCAGTTTGTTAGTCTGTTTAGGCAATCCTGTAGCTTATCTCTATCCTCCTCGCTTACAATCCTCTGCCCTAGCTTCGTATCATCAGCAAATTTATTGATTATAGTGATCAATCCTGCCTCGTCATCCAAGTCATTTATAAAAATTACGAAAGCCAGTGGGCCGAGCACCGAACCTTGAGGAACTCCTGAATATACTCTGCTCCAGTCTGAGAAACAACCATTTAGAACCGTTCTCTGAAGCCTATCAGATAGCCAGTCAGAGAACCAACTGAGAACATTTCCATCAATACCATGTGCCTTTATTTTAGCTAACAAGCGTTTCTTGGGTACTTTATCAAACGCTTTGCTAAAGTCAAGATACACAATGTCCGCTGCGTCCCCTTCATCTATGATTTTGGTAATTTTTTCAAGAAATTCAAGTAGATTTGTCGTACAGGATTTGTTCTTCATGAACCCATGCTGCGAGGCCTTGATTAAATGGTTAATTTCAAGATGGGAGACGACTTGATCCCTGATTATTGATTCCATGAGTTTGCAGCTAATTGAAGTTAGAGAGACAGGTCGATAGTTTTCAGGCTTACTCTTGGACCCCTTTTTGAAAATGGGCGTAACGTTCGCCAACTTCCAATCCTGGGGGACGCAACCTTCGTTCATGGACTTGTTGAAAATAATAGACAAGGGTACACAGAGCACATCACAGTTTTCTTTTAAAACTCTAGCAGGGATACCGTCTGGACCTTGGGCAGTACCCGGTTTAAGTTTCATAATTTTATCCCTCACTTGACCTCTACTAAATGAAACATTGGATATTTTACTCGTGACTGGTAGGGGTTCACAAACAGGGATGTTATTTTCATTCTCCCGAGTAAAAACATTACAAAAAGCTGTGTTTAATTCCGAGGCCATTCCTTTGTTGTCGCTGATAGTAATATTATTAACTTTTAATGGTCCAACTCCGACTTTAGTCTTAGTCCTGCTTTTTATATATGAATTGAAGGGCCTCTTATTACCGTTATCTGCTATGTTTTGTTCAAATTTTCTTTTGGCTTGCCTAACAGCTTTTTTACATTGTTTTTGGATATCCTTAAAATTTTGCTCATGCTCCTGGGATCGAGTTTTCATGTATAAATTGTATCTGCGCTGCTTGGTCCTGATTAATTTAATTACTTTTCTTGTCATCCATCTAGGTTTATTTCGTTGTCGACGGGGAATTTTAGGGATGAATGAATCAATACCTGTGTGAATTGAGTCCTTAAGAAAGTTCCAGGATTCCTCTGTATTTCTCTGTACAAGCTCCTGTTCCCATTTTATCCGACCTAAGTATTCTGCTAGACCCGTTAAATTTCCATTTTTCCAGTCACAGATTTTCTCATCAGTCGCACAGAATCTGGATTTAAATAAAATTTCAGTTAGAATAATGGTATGATCACTATTCGCAAGGTTTCCCAGAGGTTCGACATTAATAATATTTTCGGGTCTGTTAGAAAGCGCAAGGTCCAAAATGTTGCCGCGTATATGTGTTTTGAAGTCAACTAATTGGTCGTATTCATACTCCTCGACAGTTTGAAGGAAACTTTCGGATTTTCTATCGCTGGTTTTAAACTTCCAATCAATTGTAGGAAAGTTAAAGTCTCCAATGAATAAGGAATTTTTGCCGGATGATTTTAACAATTTGCAGAGCTCTAATGTGTTTGCTTCATTTGAACTTGGAGGTCGGTAAACAAGGGTAATAGTTAAATTATCGGACGGATTAATGTCGTCTTTGCTTAAGACTTCAAATTGGAGAAATTGGTTAAAATTGTTATCCCCAATGTTGATAGGTTTGACTAAAAGACCAACTTTTATATAAACAAGTAGTCCACCTCCAATACCGTTAAAGGTGTCCTCTCTATCTTTCCTCAGCTCAGGGTCGATATAGTAACCATCTATGTTCAACATTGCCATACTTATATCATTATTGCACCAGGTTTCTGAAATAAGTAAGATATCTGGATTGTAGTCAGATAATAAAACCTCGAGGTCATTTAATTTATTTATTAGGCTACGGGAATTTAAATAGATGACAGAAATCATTTCGCTGATTTCTTCTTGGTCCTGGAGTCTGGTGGACTTTTGGAGTCCCCTCTCAACCTCTTCCTGTCCTCCTTCGCTGATTTCTGGGGTTCCCCAGCCTCCATGTTCTCCATGTTGTTCTCCAGCGTCGATAGAAACACTTCTTCCTCGTCGTCGGATGGCAGGTCGTCTATTCTCAAGGCTGGCATATCCATTTGCGAGATAATCCTCTCCTCCCCCNTTTTTATGTTATTTTTTTTCTTTTTTTCTTATCTTATTTATTTTTTAATTTAATTTTTTATTTTTTTTATTTTTTAAGCCATCTTTTAGTGTACGGATTTTTACCGTCACCTGCTCAGTATAGACTGAAAGAATAAGATTATCCGGGGATAATAATACCCTAGCAATCGAAAAATGGAATAAGATTATCCGGAGATAATAATACCCCACGTAACTATGGATAGTTTGTCGATGTATAAAAAGTCTCCTTTCTTCTAAATTAAAAAGGATGTACTGAATTAGGTATAAAAGTTGATTCGGTCAGCATAAAAATATTGAATAAATGTGACGTTTAGTACATCCTTATCCTAGTGCTGTTAACCCTGTCCTCCGATACTTAAGGACCAGGGTTTGGATCATAGGTGAGGTTCATCCAAGATCTCAGAGCCCTGCTGCGTCTCCTCTGACGTTCTAAATAATAAACGGCAGAAATGGTTGTAAAAATTCGTTTAAGTAGTGCCTTGACAGTGTCTATATATCACTACTGCACTTAATCAGGGAGTGTCAATTATCACTCAGAAAAGTTAAAATTACTTGACTTCTCAGTCAAGCTCACTAGACTTTACAAGTTTTAAAACTTCTGAACTTTCAGTAATGGAAACCAGGGTTCCCTAAGGAGTGTCAATTATCACTCAGAAAATAAAATAGATAAATTGACTTGACTTCTTAGTCAAGTTCGTTAGTCTATACCACTTTGCCACAACTGTGTGGGGCTAAGGTACAACTGTAGAGGCTGAGCTAGCAGCCTCAAGGATACAGGAGGTTAGGCCCTCTACCAAAAGGTCCATACAGTACAGTACGGACTCGAACAGACTTGGACAAAAACTTGATCCAAAAGTCCAGCACTTCTAATTATGGTCTCACATTTTAGGCCTCATTGAAGTCATTATTAGTGCTAATGACGACTCGGCATTTGAAAGACCTCTTTTAGAAGTGAATCAAGCGTTAAACTAGCTTGGTCGTTTTAGATATCATTCAGATATTACACCCTATGGTCATCGATTATCTTTCGCCACATTTGTATATAGTTGATTTTTCATAATATGTTTTGATTTTATTTTTTAAAATAACATTTAGCTTCCAACTTGTTTTCGAACATTCCTGGAAAATATGAAAATGTCGTCTTCATTACCAAAAATCCTGGAAATAGGAATAAATGTAACTCTTAGATCATAACAATCAAAACATTGTGAAAAATCAACTATATACAAATGTGGCGAAAGATAATCGATGACCATAGGGTGTAATATCTGAATGATTTGTTTGAAATTAAATAGATTTTTTACGGTCTAAGTCGTATGTTGCATCTTTCTGAATTTGTATGACCACTACGTTCTTCGGTATTAGTCGTTTTTAACAATTTTCTCCTTATAGATGCAACAGATTGAAGTAAGATTAGAAGCGATCAGAAGCGCTTTTTTATCGCATTAAGCCTATACCCCCTTTCATTTTTCCCGAACACTCCCTTAAAATAAATAAATAATTAAAAGATCAACCATCAGTCCGTAGAAATCAAGGCCGAGACCCCTTCAGAAATAACCGCCAAAGGACGGAATTTAGTGTAATATTTGATTATGAGACAAGTCTAGTTTAAATCGTAACATCAGGGTCTAGGCCAGTAACAGAAGCCACCTTCCCACTGAACGGTAAAAGTGACTTATTGAGTAGTTTTTTTACAGAGTTTATTCTGTTGTGAATTTAACATGATATTTTTAAAAAGAGCTCTACTTGAATTTCTCAGTTGAATTTATGTTCACAGTTGTTTTTCTGTTTAGATATGGAGGAGAATGAGTTAGAACAAATCTGTGCTTGTGATCTTTGTGATTACAAAGCCAATCACGGAAATGCGCTTAACAAACATAAAATGGTAAAAAGATTTTTTTCCTTCAGACCTTAAAAAATTCAATTTTAGACCGACATCCAATATTTGGACATTTATAATCTGATTATTCATGTGTCTGATTGATTTATGATAAAAAATTTTTGTTGTTCTTTTACAGTTAAATCACTTTCAACAATTGTTTAATTTATCATCTTTTTTCTCTGAATAATTCCCGTATTTTCCTAAAACCAATTTTATCAAATATCAGTATCACACAGATTTTCTAAGACAATAAAAAATACTTATATCTGCGTTTCCAGATAACATTGCTATATATCGTGTAGAAAGAATGTCTAAAATCTGACGGTAAAAATTATTTGTTTCTCTTGTAACTGTGGAGCGTGGGTTATTAACCCAATTACTTTTTCGCAAACTCATCTTGTGAGTTATTATTCTTATGATCTTATATTGTTTTGTTTAGGTTGTACATAAGGTGGTTAAAGAATATATTTGTGACTTATGCAACTTCAGAAGTGGTCACCCATCAGCCTTAAAGAGACATAAAGAGAACCTTCATGATAAAACTAATCAAATTACTTATCATTGTGATATATGTGAATATAAGACCAACTATAAACATGCTTTAAAGAGACACACCGCCAACAAGCACAACAAAGATTCTCTAGTCAGCTACAAATGTTCTTTCTGTGATTATGTTTCAACTTATGACTTTATTATGGAGCGCCATATTACCACAATGCATATAAAGGAGGGTGAACATAGTTGTACCAAATGTGATTATACCACTGTACATAAACAATCTTTAGACCGTCATGTACGTATTGTACATGAAAGACCAATGCGATATTCCTGCGGTGAATGTGATTTTAAATCTGGGCACTCCTCAGCACTCCGCATGCACACTGCGACAATACACCAGTCCAGGAAAGCGTTTCACTGTGATATCTGTGGGTTTGAGACTCTCTACAAGACTGCACTGATGAGACACAGTAAAACTGTGAACTGTAGTGGGAAATATAAAGTATATCTCAAAAATTACTTAATAACATATTTTTCCTTATTCTATAAACATGAAAACATGAAAAACATAAAAGCATTTTTTTCGGCGATATTACATTAAAAGGCGAACATTATTTATTTTCCTATGAAGATATTCAAATAATTGTTGTTACATAATTCGATGCAAAGTCAGAATTATACTAAATTACTAAATTTTATATTAGTAGAAGGATCTCGGGTAATGCATAATAAGGATGAAAAGAGGAAAAAATCACAAATTCGCACACATAAACTAGGATTATAAAAAAGGATTTTTTATCATTTTTTTGGGAAAAAATTATATTAATTTACTTTTTTGCAGGGTGTAGGAGCTGGAAACCTACTGAAGCAGGAGAATGAAGAGAAGAAGGAAAAAGGAATCTCTCAAGATATAATTCATATAGGTGAAGTTCAGTGCATTTCTTTATATTCCAAGTTTTTAATTTAACCTTGTTTGATATATTATAAATCGGTTTGCAACAAATATGTTTAAACCGCCGCTACTTTAATGGTTTTTTTTGTAAAATCATCTAAGAATTAAATACCTCCGTAACTGAACCTTGTTTAGATTTTCTAATTTGTAAGTGCGGTGATTATTTGAATTAAAATTGCATTTTCTGTTATTCATAGCTTTCATTCAGATATGACAGCACAAGGTTGATATTATTCAATTCCAAGAGATTTAACAATAAATATTCTTCGAGCAGTACGCCTGGGTTAAATCTTCCTCCTACGGTAAAGCAGACCGCTTTGTACCCATGGTCGGATATACTTCGTTGGGGAGGAGCTTCTTCCTCTATCCCATTATTATTACTATTATTGGCGGGTTGTCTACAACTAATAATCATAATAATAATTACTTCCGCCGCAAGTATTATTTTCTAATTTTAATATTGAATTGAGCAGATTTTCCAGTTTTTTTTGGTGAATGTTCATATATTAAAGATATTTTCCAGTATTATTCGGAAAATTTCCTACTCTGGTCATGACAGATACGACAAAAATGTTCTTTTGTGGATACCATCGATTTAACCGTTTCTACGGCTATTTGATCAAAATCTAATCGTGTTTAGATCCGTCAAGTGTGTCTAGTGCTGACTACAGTCGAGTTGAAATCTCCAAACAGCTGATTGACCCACTCGCCGGTACACACGCATACTCTGTAGTTTTAAACAAGGATTTTGTTCTTCAAGCACCCTCGCACGAGACTTTACCCACAAAACCTCTTGTTATTAACACTTCCTCGGTCAATTTTCCTAAATCAGAGGTAGGATATTAAATAATAAATAAAAAACCTTGAAACAGTGTAATTCAATAAACTAATGGTATGCAACACGGAGAGGACTTGAAACTCCGATCCACTTCTGGAGCCTCAAGCCATCCCTGCAACTTTTGATTTAATTTGAGTTGTTTAGCGCTGTCAACTTTCATCTTGAATTTATTGAGTACAGTAAAATCTAGTTAACCTTAACGCGGTTAGAATCCTGTTCAAATTCAAATTGAAAGTCTTGGGCTACGTCGCTGAACTGCCTAAGTTGCCGGTTCAGATTCAAATTTGAACTAGCGATTTAAAATGAAAAATTCAGGTAAATTTGAATCGGTGATTCAAATTTGAACCGGTGGTAGGCAGTTAAAATTGATTAAATTCGGCCTCTTCAGGATCGGGGTGTGGTCATGGAACGTTCCCAAAAGTTTGATTTGATTTGAGTTAATTTTGAGGATAAGTTACTTCCACAAGTGAAAATATCCCAAAGATACCAAATAACGCTTACCAAATAATGCTTACCAAATAATGCTTACCAAATAACTCTTACCAAATAACTCTTACCAAATAACTCTTACCAAATAACTCTTACCAAATAACTCTTACCAAATAACTCTTACCAAATAACGCTTACCAAATAACTCTTACCAAATAACGCTTATCAAATAACTCTTACCAAATAACGCTTACCAAATAACGCTTTTCTAAACTTGGAATGCTTAGATATCTGATATTCACAAACATAATGCTTCTACTTTTATGTATAAATATATAAAAGAAAAACTTCCTTCGTCTTTCAATGGAATGTTTGCTCCATTTGTAGAACCCGTAGAACCTAATAGGACACTAAATTTTAAATTGGAATTAGTAAGAAACAAATATCTTAAACCTTTTCCAAAAATATTTCTCACGAAAGTTTTTAATAGTGTTCCAATGAATATTAAATGTTCCTTATCAGTACTTAGTTTCAAAACGAATATGAAAATATATCTGGTTTCTATATATAAGGAATTTAAATGTAAAAACAGGAACTGCTACTCATGTAATTTGAAAATCTTGTAAACCACTCTGTAACATATTATCTCCAAAAATTGGATTTTTTAGTGCTGGGGTTTCTCCTTTCCTTCCCTTTTTCCCTTTGCTATTCACCCTTCCTTTCTTTGTTTCCCTTTTTTTAAACTACTTTATGTTTTGTGTAATGAATTTGTTATTTGTTAATTTAAAAAAAATAAAATGTATTTTTAAAACTTTGGAGGGCCAGCCAATCAAAACATCCAGAAATGGTTAGGCTGTAGCCCTGGCTAATAATTGTTTATGTTTAAATTATAGAATGTAAAATGTATTTATTATAATGTTTGCCGAAATATATGTCTATCTATCTATCTTACCAAATAACGCTAGGCCCCTAGCATATTCTAGTAGCAGCGCTCAGTCCCTAATAAAGACTATTAATCTACTCATAGTATGCATTGAGTGAAATTTGACAAAATGGAAAATGCCTGTGTTTTTGTTCAAATATTTTTTACAGTAAACCACTTAAAGTTCTATTTCTTCGTACCTTTTATTTTTTAATTATATTAATTTAAAACAAACTTTTATCAAAGAATTAATATAAAATAAGGATTGTTCGTACACCTAAGGTTTATAATATGATTTAAATATTTGAAAACAGAAATCAACGTTCCTCTCAACTTTCAAGCTCCCCCCCCCTCCACCTGAAATATTGAAATCAGTACAATTTCTCAACTTTTTTATCAGGATGGGTTCAGTACATCCCTTGTTTTCAACACTAATCCAGCATTAAGCAGTATTACACTCATAGAAAAGGTAAAATTTTTAATAGTATGAATTTAGAGTGGATTGTTTAATCAACAACGGTATCCATTAACTTGAAGCATCTATCTGGGTTCTTATGAGGAGGATTCTCTCGTTTTCTAACAATTGAAAAGTGCAAAATTCTGACATTTTTATTATTATTTTTTTCAGCAAAATTCGCAGGTCAAAAAACTTCAACTTGAGATATCTTTTTAATCCTGAATTAGTCCAATATTAAGAGAGTATCATTATATAATTATTTTTTTTGATTATTATACAATATAGAAATTTAAAATAAAGTTGTTTTTTTCCCAATAGGATGGATTATTGTATCAAGTAACAGATAAATATCGGTCTGGAGATATTATTCAAGTTGCTGTTTCATCTCAAGAAGATATTCTGAGGATTGGATCAGGGTAGATACTTGTAACACCTACCGACACAAGAATATACTTGATACCTACCGACACCAGCAGATACCAGAGAAAAGTATATACTAGATACCTACTGACACCAGCAGATACCAGAGACAATTGCCGACACTATCAGATACTAGAGTCACCAACCGACACCAGCAAATACTGGAGTCACCAACCGACACTATCAGATACTAGAGTCACTAACCGACACCAACAAATACTTGAGTCACCTACTTACACAAGTAAATACAGAGACACCAACCGACACCAGCAGATACTGGAGTCACCAACCGACACCAGCAGATACTGGAGTCACAAACCGACACCAGCAGATACTAGAGTCACCAACAGAAACCAGCAGATACTGGAGTCACCAACCGACACCAGCAGATACTGGAGTCACAAACCGACACCAGCAGATACTAGAGTCACCAACAGAAACCAGCAGATACTGGAGTTACCAACCGACACCAGCAGATACTGGATTCACAAACCGACAACAGCAGATACTAGAGAAAATTTCCGACACTATCTGATAGTACAGTCACCAACCACACTAGCAGATAATGGAGTCACAAACCGACACCAGCAGATACTAGTCACCAACCGACACCAGCAAATACTTTAGTCACCTACTTACACAAGTAAATACTAGAGACACCTACCGACACCAGCAGATACTTGAGTCACCTACTTACACAAGAAAATACTAGAGACACCTACCGACACCAGCAGATACTAGAGACACCTACTGACACCAGCAGATACTAGAGACACTTATCGACAACAACAGATACTGGAGTCACAAACGGACACCAGTAAATACTAGAGTCACCAACCGACACCAGCAAATACTTGAGTCACCTACTTACACTAGTAAATACTAGAGACACCTCCCGACACTAGCAGATACTATAGACACTTATCGACACCAGCAGATACTAGAGACACTTATCTACAACAACAGATAATACTGGAGTCAAAAACCGACACCAGCAAATACAAGAGTCACCAACTGACACCAGCAAATACTTGAGTCACCTACTTACACAAGTAAATACTAGAGACACCAGAAGATACTAATACTAGAGACACTTACCGACACCAGCAGATACTAGAGACACCTACCGACAACAGCAGATACAGAGACACCTACTTACACAAGAAGATACAGAGACATCTACCGACACCAGCAGATACTAGAGACACCTACCGACACCAGCAGTTACTAGAGACATCTACCAACACAAGGAAAAAAGAGAGATACCTACCGATACCAGCATATATTAGAGACATCTGTCGACAAAATCAGAATATAGAAACAGTTACCGACCGACACCATCAGATTTTAGAGACACCTATCGACACCAGCAGATACTAGACACCTAACAACAACAACAGATACTAGAGACATATATCGACACCAGCATATACCAGAGACACTTTATAACACCAGCATATATCAGAGACATCTAACCGACAATATTATGATGAGTATTCTTTGATATATTAATGCAAATTAATCATACAGTAGAACCCATTAAACAGTGGAACAGTATGAAGAATGGTAACTAAGTTATGATTTTTAATAGTCCAATGAACATTTCAAGTGTACACACTACACACTACACAGACCTTGTTTACTTAAGTGTATTTTCTCGATACTGGTAAAATAATTTCCATTTTGATACAACATCAAATACACATTAGATTGTTCTATTCCACACTGAATCAAAGGATTTCCAGCGAATGAAAACTTTTTCTAAAAAAAGCAAAAATTTTGGTTCGCATTTGCAATTTTTTTTGCGAAATTTAGCATTTTAGCTTTGCATTCAAAACGACCATAAACTGCAGTTCATAAAGAAAGATTCAAGAATAAGTTAAAATCAACCTTTTTTTCTGAACAATTATAAATTGGATGTTCGTTTCACTTAAAATCTTTTTAAAATAATTGTTTGTTTTTTTAACATTGTTTATGATGAAAAATAATCAGTGCTTAGGATCCGGATCCGTTGGATTTGCAGGATTTTGGCTTCCTGGATCCGGATCCGCAAAAATATGCGGATCCACAGATCCGGATCCAAGGGGCAAAATATCAACAAAAATCTGCAAAAAAAACCAAATATGAACTATTGAAAAAAGAGAGATTATAAATAAAGCTATGTATTTAACAATATCTTAGTTTACGTAACTATATCTGAAATATTTGTCAGTGTAATATTTGAATATTAGATTTGATGCTAAATTGTGGAATGAAAACTGTTAAATATATACTAAATATTAAAAACCTTAAGATTTAATGTTTATTTGAAGTAGCGACGGTTGTAAAATTACATTAAACATAAGTTTAATATAAATTGCAGATTTAAATGATTTAGTTTGCCTACTTTACATTTTTTAATTATTTAAAATAAATTACACAAACTATTTGTTGAGGGCCAGTGCAGGAGAGTTGAAACATTTAGAATTGTCTTCAGAATGAAAACACGAGAAATCTCTTATTTTAACAGTAGTTTTTCATAATACAGCAGTACCCTAATTCAGGGTTCACTATACCGGCTGGTGGAACTAGTGGTTCACGAGATTCAGGGATAGGGTTGTGAAATGTGAATCCCTTGCTTTATCATTTTTATTTTCATTCAATATTAATAAGAATAATAAAACAACATGGGTAAATATTTTCTTGAAAAATTATTTCCCCCCCCCCCCATCCCCCATCTTTCACAAAATATTCCTGTTCTCCTTTTTGTAATTTATAAAGGATTCTATTATTAAATATCCCAAGATGTTTGTTATGTTTCATTCGCTGAGTTAGAGAAATGAAAAACTTCTAAAATTGCAAAAAAATAATTTGGTAAAATAAAAATGTGAAATAACCTGCCATTTGTTTTTTTTTGTCTCTGAACACAAAATAAAGCATCTAAATTAATTGTCATCAACAATCAAGGGTTAATTCAACTGAGTTACTATTTGCAATTATCTATTATGATCTTTTTTTTCCGAATTTAAAGTTTTTTTAATAGTGCTTATTATGCTGTGCACCTCGCGCACCTACTTAAAACTTTGTTGATATATATTAATAAATATAAAGAAAGAACCCCTGCTAAGAATTCAATGCAAAAAGCTAAATCACTGAACACTTGCAATATTCTGAAAGATGAAGGATAACACTTGCAAATTCATTATTCGTATTTGCAAATTAAAAATATTACAGCTTTTGTAGGCTTAGTTATATTTCATCTTTTGTTAAAGCAAGTTCTTGTCAAACTTTTTAACTACGTCTACGCCCCAGTTGAACGAATAAATATAAAAAATCAATTTTTTTCAGCGTTTAGTAAAAAAATCCCATAGATATTTGAGGTTATGGTACAAGGGAAGGTTTAGACAAGAGAGAGCGTGATTCTTAGATTTTTTTTCAGAGAAAAATGTCAAGCTCCGAAAAGTCTTCTCTCGACATACAGGAATTTATATTCTTAAAATCATGTTTGAAACGGTTGAAAATGAAATGTGTGCGCACGGCAGAAAGAACTTAGCAGTTATCAGTCAGCGTGCTTTAAGCATTATGTCATGTGAAAAATTGTCTTTTGTCCTTTGCTGGATTTGGTGTGCGCACAGAATTTGTAAAAGCGGCATCCTTTAATTTTCCTCTAATAAAAATAGAAGCCAATTTGAACATAGATTTATACTAATTATTATTAAAATCTCAATATCCCCCCCCTAACTTCCCTATTTGCGCCTCTGGAGTCAGTAGAAAGTAAAAAATTAATTTTAGAAAAAAATTTGAAAAATTATTAATCTTTCAACATGTCGAGCCCACTGATTATCGATTTTAATACCATATGCACTCAAACCAATATGAAGCCAACTTAAAAGTTTAAACATGTTCATTTTGCATTTTCATATGTTTTTTGTATGATTTACTATCTCTGTAAACCCTGGTTACTTCTTTTAAGTCCTTGAGAAAAAGCTCATCTTGTAAATAATGAAATAAATGACATCTTTGATATTTGAGGTTTCTAAATTTTTCTTAAATTAAATCACATTTAATATCATCAATTTTCAATATTCAGTTAATGTTTACCACAATTTGGAAAGCCTAAATATGTTCAAACTGAGAAACTGACCAATAACTTATTTTAAATTTTTGCCTTGAACAGAATGGACTTTTTTTAGTTTTGGAAAAAACCTGATAAAACTGATTTCTTTAATTAAATGTTTACAGGTGGGCCAATGCTTAAGATATATGATTAAATAAGCATATTATAGAAACATTGTACCATACAGAAAACAGAAAAAATGAAAAAATTGAATATAACAATATTTTCAGGTGCTAAGGTGTTAGTTTTTAAGTAAAGCAGAAAAATTGCAATTTTTTCAAATAAATTTGCTAATTAATTGACAAATTTGCAATTTTTAAATAATTTATCTTTGGGATTTTCAAAATGATATAAAACATCCTTGTTAGCTAAAAAATGAGGATTTGGTGAAAAATTTTACTCTGAAGTTTAAAAAAAGGCTAAAAAATCGCGTTTTCTCTGGCTGCACGCGAAATAATTGACACAAAAAAAGAAAATATTTTGGATTTTTCTACTCCTATATATCTATTCTGAAGACTTCTATTTCGATCTCAGATTTTTCAATCTTTTTATTATAATAAATTCTTATTTTTAATTTTTTTTTAACTATTTCATTCATTATTTTTTTTCTCTCATTGGTAAAAAAAAATTCTTTTTCCATCCGTTTATAATCGAACATCTGCAAAATCTCTTGCGTAATTTTTTCAGCTAATTAAATTTGCAAAATTGTTTAAAACCTCCTCAAAACTATGTTTTTAATATTTGAATATATTCAAATTGTTTTTTTTAAGTTATAGAATAGAATTATCAGGTATCTATGAATGCCCTAAATATGACCGAAGAGACAAATATTGACACTTCAAAAAACGAGAGCCCTGTCCTCGATCCTGTTACTGGTTCTAACAATGGCCGTGAAGATTACCTGGATTGGAATGAGTACTTTATGGCAGTTTCCTTCCTTTCTGCTCAACGCAGCAAGGACCCGGCCACACAGGTAGGAATAGGTGTACAGTACATATTACCAGTTCTTGCCAGCCATCCACTGGGATGTACCACTAGAGCATGGGCGTTATAAATTTGCTTCAGCTGCACGGTGTGGTGCTGCGCCCCGAATGGAATCTAGGGGTTTCATGTAGGAGTCCTCTTCAGATTTAAGCTTGATTTGATTTTTATGAATTGAATCTTAAAGGGTTTAATTGTTTTAAGAACTACCCCTGCTCCGGTAGCTAAAAGGGCTATTTTCTAGAATTACCTCCCCCCACCCCTCCTAGGTAAATGTTGTATTTGAAGAAATAGAGAGGGATAAGTATATCTTGTAGGGTTAGGTTAGGTTTAGACACTTTTTGGGTCGAACGCTGCGGCTAGGGGCCAAGTGCCACCGCTAGGGCAGGCTAGGGGGCTGCACTCAAGGCAACGATCTACGGCTCTAATTTTTTTTGTAATTTAACAGGGCATGCGCGTAACTCCTTTGGGTTTCTACTGGAAGGTTAAGTTTAGTTTAATTTGCCTCTCCTCGTTCTAAAAAAATAACAATTAAAAATTATTTTGTTATATTCAGGTTGGAGCTTGTATTGTGAGTACTGATAAACGAATTGTAGGAATAGGAAGGGATCTTTTTAATTATCCGTTTATCTTTTATCCATTTCTTTAGTTTTTAAGGTTTTTGGCGTTCATGCATTCAATCCTCAACCAGTTTGCTATTTTTACTTTATTCAAAATTTTGATTCTAACAGAAGATAGTTATATTGGCCTATTACAATTGTATAATAAAGCTCTTCGCTCATATACATTGTATATATTTCAGCTATAGCAGGCAAAACAGCAGGACCGATTTGGCTGAATTTTTTAACCCGTTCAAGTACTTTATATTGTCCATATCGCTATTTCTTATTTTAAAAAAGCCAAAAAGTTTGCTTTATTTTACTTTTTGTTTTTCGGCACGGTAAAAATAATTTGAAATTGATATTGAAAAAGTAAAAAATTCTCTAGTTCTAATTTGATGAATTATGAATAAAAGGATTCCTGATCAGGATATAATGGATTTCCCAGGGGATGCGGGGACAAGCATCTACCCTGGGGGAAACGAAGCAGTAATGAGTAAGCTTATCAATTTAAAGGGACCATCGTGCCAATATCAAGGGATATCTAACTAAGACACCCTTTCAGCCTGTATCAATGATATGGAAAATATCATTGTTTTTCTATCTCGAAACATGTATAATTCTTACAGTTTCTTGTTTGTTTTTAGGTAACAGAAATCTGTAAGTCACTGTTGAAAAGAAATCATAATTGAATAAAAGAAATTAAAGAAAACATGGATATTTCACTAATTTTTAATAATACCAAGCTAGCTTTTAAGGGTCTTGTTGTGAATAGGAAATGCCACTCTAAAAAAAGGGAGTCACACTGAATTACGCCCACATTCACTTTAAATTATTTTTTTAAGGGAAACATTCGCAATTTGAAATATATTATATTTACTTTCATGAGCTATTTATTTTTTAGTGTTAAAGGGATCGTACTCTCATTGTTTACTGCTTTTATTAAGTGAATGGATATTTTAAAACAAATATGGAACTTGTTATTTTTATCTTTTAAGGAACAAGTTCCCGTCTATATTGTTATTTCTTCATTTTATTTCATCGTTTTAATGAATGGATTCTCAAAACGTACCCACCAAATGGATGATTTTGAACTTCAACTTTGCGCTCAAACTCAGTAATTATACATAATTAAGACATTTTATAGGTCTCAAATGAATCCTAAAAATTTCTCCTCAATACAACACTCAGTTCAACTACCCTAAATTGCCGGTCATTCCCTTCTAATATCTTCATTTTATTTCATCGTTTTAATGTTTAGGCTATTTTAAACATTCAAATGATTTATGGATAGTTAGACATTTGCTTTTGCAACATAAGGTATTTTTTTTCTCAGTATGGTAGTTTTCCAATCAAATATTAAATGATTTTTGCAAAGAAATAGAAAACCCCTTAAAATAATCATAAAAAATATCTTAGTATATTAAATATGTTCATTGTACACTGTATAGGTTGGAGAACAAGTACATGTACGTGTGTCACGCTGAGATGAATGCAATCATGAACAAGAACAGCGCCAGTGTGGAGGGTTGCTCCATGTTCGTCGCATTGTTCCCTTGCAATGAGTGCGCCAAGGTCAGAAGAAAGGGGATTGTTCACGTCTTTATCATTACTACTCACTTCATCTTGAATTTCATAATACACGTGCTATAAAGTAATCATCGTGTTCTAAAGTTAAATTAGCTTTACATTATAGTACATGTGTTTTAAAACAAGTACACAAACGTTTCATAAAACTACCTATAACACTATTATTTTGGCACGACGTGTAAAAAGTTTTTGTTACTTAAATTTTCTATATATCTCGAAGGTTCACGCCTTTTTAGATTATATTTTGTCCGTCGCTAAAGCTCGGGACAAAATTAATTCTAAAAAGTCTTGAACCTTCTCGAAAAAGAGAAAATTTCTGTTCATAACACTGGGAACCAAATAACAGTGTTATAAATAGTTAAAACAGGGCAAAGTATGTTTTTAAGTCTTTGTAACAAAACTCCAATAATTTTTTTGTCTAATGCAAAGTAAAAAATTGAGGTCATTTTATAATCTATTTATAAAAAGGTTGTATCCATAAATTGTTATAAAGGGGGAGGGGGTATTAATAATACATTAATATTAAAGTAATTCTTACAAATAATTTTAATAGCGCATGCAGATTGCAGAATAAGTGTACTATTATTCGGAAAAATACTCAATTAGATTCATTTTTGTTTTAAGTATTGCGCGCATTTATATTCGAAACTAGCGAGAACCCAGCGTTGCCCTTGTTACTCTATAATTACTCCCGCTGTTTACCCGCACTTAGTCGAAAATTCCGATTTTATCTATTTTTTTCCGATAAAAGTCGACCCAGTCAACTTAGAATCTGAAGCTAAGAACATTTCCTTGACTCTCACGAGTTCGACAATTAGAGTTTGAGTTATGGTCGAAGAAACAGACAAACAGAGATTACAATATAACTATATATAGATGCATATTTTTTAGATGATAATACAGGCGGGGATCAAGGAGGTCGTCTTCTTCTCTGACAAACACTGTCTAAAACCGAGTACAATTGCCTCTAAGGAATACAGTTGATTATGATTTCATTTTTTTCTAATAAAGTTTTTGTGGTTTTTATTGATTGTTTTTTCTTTCTCTAGACTTTATTTCAAGAAGAAAAATCTAAAACTCATTTTTATTTTTATCATGGCTACTTTTTATTATTTCCAGATAAATGCATATTCAAAATTTTGGATACTTGAAGCTTTAAAATCATTGATAGCATATACTGCGCAATTAAACAACTTAAGAATTATTAACCATGAAAATATTTAACCAAATTATTGCGTTCAATGCAATTAATAAGAATAATTTAGAATAATAAACTAACTACGTAGAAACTGTTGGATATGGCTGGAGTAACCTACAAACAATTCATTCCCAGGAATAAAAAGATTTTAACTATTTAAAGGGAGGGCTCGTAAAGAAATAATAATAATAGAAATTCTAGAATTGATCTGAAAATAATTAAGAATCCATCACAACTTTTATCTCTATCCGATATTTCTCCGAAGATAATTAAAAAAAAGTCTAGAATGAAGCTATAGGTATTTAATGTTAACAACACACATTGAAAATAGAATAATAGTATACAAATCTTTTTGCTCACTAAGAATGCGTCAGCTTACCATTGATTTCGAACTCGCGGATTCCTCCGTCTATAATGACGCGAACTCAATCAGCAAGTCAATGACGCGAATTCATCAGCAGGTCAATGACGCGAATTCATCAGCAAGTCAATGACGCGAATTCATCAGCAAGTCAATGACGCGAATTCATCAGCAAGGCAATGACGCGAATCGATGTGATGATGATATTAACTTTCTTACAGATGATGGAAAACACATTGCCCTGAAATATTTGATTTATTCACTCCGAAAAAAAAGACAAATGAATTATTTTTATGACTATTTGAATTTGAAATGAAACTTGATAACTTGTTTTGATCCTTGTTAAATGATATTTAGTTACAACTTTGAATTTCAAACTCGAGCTTTCTTTTCAATGCCAAAGTAAACAAAACATTAAATGTTGAAATTATATAAAAAAAAATTTCCTCAGCAGAAAAAAATATTTTTGCTTTCCCTTGTACAATCCAAAAACCGATGAAAAGCATGACGCCCAAAAGATTGTTTTACTCTATGAATCATACATTTTCTTGTTTCTTGACTGTTAAGACTGAAACACTCCACTTGCATAATTTTATAGATCTTTAAACTAACGTATACTTCTTACTTTATTTACAACCACAGTTTTATTTTTTTATATTTTTATATTTCAGATAAAATATGTCGGTGAGTAAACGGCACCAGGATTGGGATTTAGATTGTAAGGTCAAACATTTTTTCTGGGGAGAATTCAAAATTGATTTAATTTGTCAAACTGTCTCTTTGTAAAGGACAAGTTGTGAGTTACGCGCTCTTGCCGCGTTGAATTATAAAAGAGAGAGATCAGTATATATTTAAGGGATAGTTTAAGCTAATACACTTGCTGGGCCGAGCGCTGCGGCTAGAACAGGCTCTCTCTCTGTCTTGTAATTCAACGCGGCAAGCGCTCGTAACTCCTTCTGTCGATTAAAGGGAGGCCGGGCTGTAGACATATATTCAAGAGACCCCTATTTATGGACATGACTGGTTTACAACTGGTTAGACTCATGTAAGAGTTAAACTTATGAAAGAGTTATCTTATGAAAGAGTTAACTTATGAAAGAGTTAACTTATGAAAGAGTTAAACTTATGAAAGAGTTAACTTATGAAAGAGTTAAACTTATGAAAGAGTTAACTTATGAAAGAGTTAACTTATGAAAGAGTTAAACTTATGAAAGAGTTGAACAAATGAAAGAGTTAAATGGGTTAACTCATGAAATGATTAATTTTAGAAAGGGCTTAACTTAATGTGGATTATTTACCATATATCAATCTAGCAATTACAGATTTTTTTCTCTGAAAAGTTTAATATTCGTGCGTAGTGTGTACTACGTACAGGTAATATCCTTTTAAACGTAGAGGGAAAACTATACAATTTTTTTTCCTCTCAAAATTCTCGTATTCTCATAAAACGAAACAAAGCCTTTGGCCGTCCATTCAACCCACTCAAGAAAAATCAACTGAGGCTGGCTTTTTTCTAGTATTTTCTAGCATTTTTCTAGTATTTTTCCAATATTTTCTAGTATTTTTCCAGTATTTTTCCAGTATTTTTCTAGTATTTTTCTAGTAATTTTCTAGTATTTTTCTAGTGTTTTTTTCTAGTATTTTTTTTAGTATTTTTCTAGTATTTTTCTAGCATTTTTCTAGTATTTTTCCAATATTTTCCAGTATTTTTCCAGTATTTTTCCAGCATTTTTCTAGTATTTTTCTAGTATTTTTCTAGTATTTTTCTAGTAACTTTCTAGTAATTTTCTAGTATTTTTCTGGTATTTTTCTAGTATTTTTCCAGTATTTTTCTAGTATTTTTCTAGTATTTTTCTAGTGTTTTTTGTAGTATTTTTCTAGTATTTTTCTAGTATTTTTCTAGTATTTTTCTAGTGTTTTTTTTCCCTCAATGAACTAGGGAAGGAAAGTTATCTGAAAAAATTGTGGATTTATAAATTTTAGAATTATTTTTATTTAAATGTTTAAGGGTATTTTTAACTCAGCCTTCTCAAAGTTCTTTAATATGTTTTATTCATTTATACGTTTAGGTTTATATCGGAGGACTGAGAAGCGATGCAAATAAATACGATATAGAAGATGCTTTCAGTGAATTCGGAAAAGTAAGCATTAATTTTACTCTTTAAAACAAAACAAGTTTTGTTTTTCATTTTGTGAATTTTGCTTTTTAAAATTGAGCACACCATGTACGTTTTTATTCTTTTGCTGGAAAATTATTATCTATGTGTGTTATTTTATATCATGGGTATGATTTCATTATGTTATTGTATATCATGGGTATGATTTCATATATTTGATATATTCTTATTGAACTACAAAGCATGAGATATTACAAATAAGCAATCACAATTTACTATTTAGTCTGGACCCGCCTAACCACTTCAGGGTAGGTTGTTGTGAAGTTAGTTAACGATACTGTATATAATTGGTTACACACATCAAATTATGTTTTTGGATATGTAGGGAGTTGATTGGGAGGTAGGAGATTGTCAGGTGATCTGTGGCAGGGTGAGATCAGAGGGATTAATGTAGAGATAAATTAAAATACTGGGTGTAAGGGAGGGTGGATTCACACACACAAATAAATTATTAAAGTTTAAATTTTTAAATTTTTTTTTATATAAAATCTACTCACATGATGTACAACTAGGTTTTCGCATTTAAACCTCTCACAATTCTCAAGATAAATATTGATTACGCTTTTTATTTTTGCAGATTTAGTTTCTTTAAGGTTAATTTCAATTGCATTCTACAATTTAGGAAACATTGCGGACGGAAAGCTTTCTAGATTTTTGTTCTAATTTATATGATTTTGTTCTATTCGGTTCAGCTAGAGACATATTTTGGAAGGAAGAGGGAAGGTTATCAATAAAGTATCCATGCATAAATGCCAGAACACTAATTTTGTATGTATCAACAAGATTAAGAACATTCAGTTTTGAAAATAATGGATTTGAATGTGCCTCATGAACGTACTATTAATGACGGCTCTGATTGACTTTTTTACCGCTCAAAATAGCGTAAGTTGTGAATGTGATAACAGGGTGTTCAAAAAGTGCAGAGTTGTGATAAAGCAAATTATTGTCCAACAACATTTTTCAATGAATTGTATCTAATATTTCAGTAAAATTATTAATATTAGAATTGGGAGGTTTATATGTTACCAATTATTTTGAATTTATTTGGAAAAAATTTTACCATTAAAAAAATGGATTCAAAAACTCTTTCCTCAAAAACGGATAAATTATCAATGACCTCAAAATCATGTTCATTTTTAAT